TGTATAGAATGAAAACATAATAAAATATACATTAAAAAAAAAAAAAAAAAAAAAAGATAGGAGTTCTCATATTATGGGTTGCAGCTCTGTTGTTGCAAACAAATTTGATGGTGGACATTAAGCGGGTAGGAGGTGTGGAGAACTTTCTGAGGAAAGCCAGAGCTTTGATAAATTACTTCCACTTTACGTGGACAAGCCAGCTGTCTTTCTGTATTCTCTGAATGATTATTTGGTTGTCACAGTAGCAGCCTCTATCTGGAGTAAACCTAGGCTTCATGATCTCTTGATTCTGCTGCTATACATTCCACTTGCAAGTCCCACCAATTGCCACCTTCTTTTTTTCTGCTCCACCAATCAGTGGAGCAGCAGCTAAGAGCCTTGAATTCTGATGATTACAGCAATAGAGGCAGAAAAGAATTAAAAGAGAATTTGGGTTTTATGGATTTTATTCTACAATGGCAGATCTCACAACATCAGGGATGTCAAAGACAATTCATAGCCGAGAGTCTTTAAGTGATGGAAATAACAGCCTTTGGATCAGTAGTGGGTTCCGGATCCCATTGCAACTGGTACGGTTGCAACAGGGCCCGGTGTCCACCACATTAACCTGTGCAGCGTGCACGCACACACGCGCAGTGCACACATGCATCCTTATCTCTTGTGACATCTCTGCGATGCTCCAGCTGATCAGTGGAGCGTCATACAGGGGCTGTGCAGTCTGCGCGTGGAAGTGCTGAAGAGCTCAAATACAGGTAAGGAGCTCCGCCGGCCGGATGGGCCCTCCGGAGCACCATACTGGAACAGTACCCGATGCTCCAGGTAAGCACCGATATGCCCATACTGGGGCGTACCACCTGAAACCCACTACTACTTTGGATGCTGTTCCATTGGTGGGAGAAAGGAGAAGGCAGTTGGTGGAAAAAGAAGATGATAACAGAGGAGGTGATAAGCAGAATGGAGAGCAGCACACTGGAAAGTTCTCAGAAATCCAAAATCTACCATGGACAAGGCATGCTACTAGGAAAACCAAAACAATCAGTTGGAGAATAAAAGAGACAATCAAGTTTTCCAAACACAGCTTGGAACTTGGACATGGCACTGACCAACCTGGTGACTTATACACAGAGTAATCTAGTAATTTATTTATCATTTAAACGAATAAGACAAATTCATGTATTACTTAAGGAATCATGGAGCACAAAGTTTGAGGGCCCCCACCTTACGAAGTACTGAGCTATCCTGGTCCACATGGGATAAACTAAAATAGCAGAAACTGAAGTTTCATTTCAGTGTTATTTCAAGATTCATTTGTCTCTTAACGCAGTACCAAACTATTTTTTGTAAACACAGGATGAATTCATTATATTTTAGGATGATCCAGATATCAGAAATGAATTCTGCAATCTGTTTTTAGTGTGCCAGATTTTCCGTATTGTAGCAAATTATGATAATACTGCCTTTTAACTACTCTGATGTCCTGGGTCATTCACACAATGCATAGAGTATTTCCAGCAATAATGTATAAGATATCTATTTTCCCCTCTAATCCCAAATGGACTGAGAGACAAGGAAGACTGCAAATCACATATTGTC